TTCCCTCCTTGTCTCACCAGTCCCCTCCTGCCAAAGCTCAGATCACTCACAGTCCAAAGGGAACTATTTAACTCCTTCCCTGCCCTCAATCTCCATCATGAATCCTCCTCTTGCTGGCAGTAATAAATCACTGACTGAAAAGGCTGGACTATTTCCTTGCCCTACTTCTGAAGATAAAAAAGACCCTGCATTTGAGAAGAGCTGCTCCCATCCCAGTCTGGGCATTGACATCTTCTGTGTCCTCTTCTGCTTCACACAAGTCACTCTTCAGAGCTTCAGAGAAATGGTGATTTCCATTTTTAGAACTCAGTTAATCAAACACATTTAAACACATTCACATCATGGTCACCAACATGGGCACACACCTAACCCACTGGCATGCAGGCACTTGGGATGCTTCTCTCCCTCTAACCAAAGCTAAATACCCACTTTCTATTCAGAGCTGTACTGCTTGGATCCTTCCAGAACCAGGCTGAAAGCACTGGGGGACCAAGCTTAATTGTGGTCACAGTCTCCATTTCTGGACTCCATGGAAGACAAGAGATGCACTTGTGTAAGGAAAAGGGGAATCAAGCACAGTGATGTATTTTCAACTGAGTGAAACATGATGATGCTCTGACAGCATTTCCAATGCTGGTGGCACAGCTCCTGTGAGACTGGATGAAGGTACATCTGAGCAGCCACCATGTATAATCTTGTGGCTCTCTCAAGTGGATTAGCTCTTCACTGGGGTAAACATAAGAGCCACAGAATGGTTTGAGTTGGAAGGGACCTTAGAGATCATCCATTTCCAACCCCCTGCATGGGCAGGGACACCTCCCACCAGCCCAGGCTGCTCCAAGCCCCATCCAACCTGCCCTTCAACACTGCCAGGGATGGGGCAGCCACAGCTTCCCTGGGCAACCTGGGCCAGGCTCTCACCACCCTCACAGCCCAGAGTTTCCTCCTCAATCTCCCCTCTTCCAGTTTTCATCCATTTCCCCTTGTCCTCTCCCTCCCTGCCCTTGTCCCAAGTCCTTCCCCAGCTTTCCTGGAGCCCCTTCAGGCACTGGAAGGTCTCCTCAGAGCTGTCTCTTCTCCAGGTTTAACATCAAGTAGTGAGATTCACCAGACAGAATGTCCTGATTGGAAATAGTTGCATCTTTGCTTTATCTTCTCTGGCTTATGATTAAACAGTGCAGCTCCTCAGCAGTCAGTAATTACTAAACCCCAAAAAATGCTGATTTTTGGTCCATTTTTTTTTGTCTTTTTAGCCACTCATATTCCAAATCCAGGATTTGTTCTACAGCCACATATAAACCATACTCAAAATGATCAAGACATACGTTCTCATGGAGTCAAATGACTTTAGGATTAAGTGGTTTAAGGGAAAATAATGAACTTTTGTAAGACAATAAGATCATGCCAACACTGCTGGTGAGATCTTTGTTGGTTTCCCTTTGCAGAGCTCCATGCTTGGTCACATTCAGCATCAATCCCAGCTGATGTAATTTTGCTCTTTTGCT